GTATCTTCTTTTAAGCGGATAAGAACATTTAAGGTGCTGTTCTGTCTTTCCCCACGACAGACAGCACTGTTTTGTTGCAATTAATAATGATTTTGGACTAGATCGTACTTGGCCTCCGTGGCTCACAGGAGATGGCCACATAGAGGACTACACAGTTCTTGCTCTTTGGGGGAGTCAGTGGTATATATGGGCTGGAGGAAAGGTACAGGGCCATGACCTGTTTAGTGGGCAATCAATTCCTGCACCATGGGACACTCTCACCACAGCCCCCACTGCTACTTCTTGGCCTCCTCAGTGTTTTTGCCTCACAAGCATCTGCCTCATTTTGTTAAACAAAGCCAAATTTCAGAACCTTGCTCCCACTTTTGAAACTATATCTTGCAGTATACAGGGACCATAAATCATACACTAATGCTAAGCACCCTAAAAATACCTGAGCAATGAATTTTAAGACAGTTTAAATATGACCTGTTGTTTTATTTCAGTCCAATGTTTTCTTCCATTTAATTATTATTTGAATGTGAACTCAGTGCCTATTTAAGGAAGTGCATATGTAGGCATTTTATGGTACCTTTCTCTGAGGCTATGGGACACATACAAAACAGCAGCTTGACAAAGTTAGAATAGTGAATAAAAGGTGTATCATGAAAAACTTGCCTACCATCAGCCTGTTTTCCCCTGCTGACTTAGAAAGAGGGCTCTTTGGCAGCAAGCCCTGTGGTACATCTGAGAACAGATGTATCCATCCTACCTAAAATCCAGCAGAGCCAAGGAGCCACATCCCTAGACACAATGAGCTGCTCATGAATCATCTCAGACAGTACAGATGTTCTGAAGATACTAAGTGTATGGTTTTCACATGTTGGAAAGCCATCTGAAACACCTCCTGCCAGGTTGCATAGCTGGCACATCACTTGTCACAGAGACCAGGATGTTCAGCTTTGTTTTCCCCTTTGAGGTTTAAGAGATGGCTCCAGTATCTTAATTTCATACAGAAAACCAGGGATGTATTTTTCCCTTTTATGTAAATATCTTACTCCTCTCACAGACACCGACACACCAGTGAGCTGCAGAAATAAGATTATATATTGCAGGTCCCTCTCTCCCCCATCTCATCTGCTTATTTACCAAATAACTCTCATTAATCCTCTTTACTCTGTTTACTTCTCACTTTCCTTCAGTCTTACTGTCTCACTATTATTCAGGTGCTTGCAGATGTTAAAAAAAGCTTAAGAGACAGTCACCTCCCCAGCTGATTAAAATGAATTAAATTCCACTGATTGTTTTTGATTCTGAATTGATTTACACCAGATGAAGATGAGCTGCTGGCATTCACTGTGTACTTGCCCAAGCCCACAGATCATGTAATATACTGAAATAATCCAGCTTCGTCCAGCTTATACTAGTTATGAACTGTCCTTGGACCTCCTGGTTTTACTTCTTGATGACAGTCTTCTGGGGCAAGAGTAAGAATGGCAAGTTTTTACAGACAGAGACATGATAGGTAATTACTTGGAGGTATTCTAGATTTTGAACCAGTTATTCATCTGCTCTTGCTATGTTTTACAGAAATCACTGGTTGTGAGATCACTTTTTTATCCATTAAATGAGTGGAAAAGTCCCACTGCTTACACTGAGGCTGAGCTCCAGCCAGTGATCAAGCCTGTCCTAGAAATCTGCAAATGTCACAGATTGTGCTAAGCAACACTATCATGTATGATGTCCTCTGGTGCTTGATCTGTGCGGCAACACACACCTGTACCCGGTGTGCAGGTCATGCAGTGTCCAATGCTGCAGTCATCAGCAACACACAGAGGAAATTTAGAGGTTGTTAGAAGTGCCTTTGAAGTATGGCTCCATATGTATTTTCCCATATGTATTAACCTGCCTAGCATTTCTCTGAGTATTAAAGTTGATAGATGCAATTTGCTATTAGTTCCCTCATGGACAAGAGAGGTCAAATCCATTCACTGGAATGGATTTTAGCATTTCTTATGACCATTTTGTACTGGGAGAACCTGAGTATTTCCAGGGGAGACGCACGGATGGAGGTAGTAGCATGCTTGCTTGGTTCAGGTAGTTATTACACACAAAGAAGCACCAATCCACTAGGCTGTATTTTATTACAAAATGTCTTAGTGCCTAAAATTGGTGATATGCTGAAGTTTCAGTTTTTACGAGGGAAAACAAACTACCCTGAGAGAAACAGTTTATATACAGATTGAATAAAAATACATCTGAGTTATGATACCTCAAGGACAGTTAGTCCCTCTCTTCCTGCTTCAGAAAAGCAGACATGAGAGAGTTTGACTGGGTCTGGCCCTTGGAAACCAGGAAATGAGATTTCAACTTAAGCACAATAGGATTTTTCCTTTTCTTTTCTACTTCAAATTTGATTCACATGAAAGTGAGGGATTAATACAACAGATACAAACTCTGTGCAAATAAATCCCTGCCTGCACTTTCCTACTAAAACATTTAACCCTTGTTACACCCTACAATCAGATGACTGCTGTTATTTCACTCTTCATCATCTCTTCAGTGGAGGTAGGAGACAGATTTGTCAGAGATGCTGCAATGACAGAGGTTACAGTTCCAGAAGATGTGCAGGAAGGAGGGCCTAGAGGGAGAAGTGCAGAGGAGAGCTGGTGGGATGGGGGTGTGAGAAAGGACAGGGCAGCCAATACTTATGGAGCCAGAGGCTGGGAACCCACTGGAGGGACTCTAGGCTTCAGTATCACCCAGATTAATCCCGTTACCCTTTCTCTAGCCACTTCTACCTCCCAATAAAAAAAGAGAGTGGAGGATTTCTCACTCTAACTAAAGCCGATTCAGCTCAACAATATATGATAATACTCTGTGTTGAAGGTAGAGATGTTTCTCTCATGAAGCATCTCATCTTATTTCCCAGCATTTATCAATAGATATCTTTTACAGTGAATCAAGAAACCTGAACTGCTGGGGAATGCTGCCAGGCACTTTAGGGCATTCTTTTAGCAGAACTGTTTTAAGAAGGACTCATTGATGAAAAGAAATGTTCTAGTTAGTCTGTAAAATTCTAATTAATAAGATTTTCCTTCACAGCTGTCCATCCCACATTCGAGCAGTTTTTAGCTTAGCATTTGTCAGCGGTATGAATGTCAACAATAAGAAGATCTAAGAGGAATTTTACTTTTCTCTGAGCTTAATGCCTGTTCAAGCAGATAACTTGTATGTTGATATTCATATTGTTGACAAATAATGGGTATCTTCATCAAGTATCAGTATTATTCTTCACTGACATGAAGCATGAGGCTGTTATGTGAATTCCCCAAACCTTTACAAGGCAGCTCTAAATTCGTCTATTTAAATTTTGTTTCTGTTCCTCCCATCTATTCCTCCCATCTACCAGCATCACGTCAGATTTGAAAAGCAATTCCTTGCCTAGGCACAAGTTGCCCTGGAGGGTTACTGCTCCCACATGTATATTTTGCAGCCTTGACACAAATCATTCACAATTTGGCAGACAAATACAAATGAGCAGCAATGATAGATCAGGATCTGTAAGTGAGAGATTTTTCACTGTGTTACCAAGTCAAATGGACTCTGATCCCTGTCCTCCAGAAATAATTTTTTAAAAGTGCAGTTGCTACAGTGAAAGCTTTCCAGCTTCCCCCAAATAATAAACATTCATTTCAGCTAAACTAGAATAGCAAAGATTCTTATGTAAATTTAATAAGAAATAAAATAGAGACTTCTCTCTTTTTGTTTGAATTCTCCCTTTTTGATGCTCTTTCAAACCCTGTATAAATTTTTTGAACAATCACAAAGCATGTCCAATGCTCCACCATTGCGATGTCCCTGCTGAGGCTCAACAGAAATCCTGCAATCGCTCTGCATGGAGATAACATTTTTCATTAAAGGTATTTTCATTTAGTTTCCTTTTTTTTCCCTCCAAGAAAATATAATTCAAAAATGACAAAGTTGAGAAAAATTGTTATTTAATCCAAGCTGCAATTCAATGTCACTGCAGTGTCTCATGAGAGGTATGGATGGCATATTGCGATATCTACTTCAGGCTGGGTCACCTGGATATACTAAGAGCTTCTGTCCAAGACACTTACAGTATAAAACATGACACCATGAAGACACTATTGTGGGGTGCTGTCAGAGCCATATTAAAACCAACAGAGGAGAAAATAACCTTCATCCATCTAGCCTACAAGTCACACAAGTTTCTTTCTCCTCTAAGTTGACCCTTTGGACTTGCAGTTGGAGCCTTCCTACAGAAATGTTAGTTTTGACTTTTTTCACTAGAATACAAAATGTTATTTAAGTGAAGAAATTATTCTCACTCCCATTTTTCTGTGCAACTGAAGTCAATACTTTCTAACTACTCAAGGCTATAAGAAGCACAGCTATTGCAAAGACAGTGACCTGAAATGGTTACTACACACTGTGTTGTACATAGGTTTCATAGAGGATTTTACATTAAAAGAGACAGGTTTTGAATTTCATTCCATAGGTTATAATTTTGAAGGAAGAATAAATTAGAAGTAGAGCCTCCAAATGAAGATTTAGAGTTAAAAGAGCTTGCATCAATTTGAAGTGCTAAAATTAGTGATGGACCTGGGCCAAAAATCTCATATCCCTCATGTAAATTTTGAATACTACCAGAAGTGGACAGGACAGTTTCCCACCTCTATACTTGGCCAAGCCAAAGCTCTCCACATTCACCAGTGACCTGCAGCAATTTGACTTCAGGCAAGTTCTTATTAATCTGAACACTGCACTCTATCCCATTTCTAGTTTTTCCCCTCCTCATGCCCATGACTGAACTTCACCCTTTACACAGGCAAGATGCAGTACATAAGTAACTTTCCAATGGAAACACATGTTGACTACAGGATGCCTTTTGTCTTTAGGATGCCTTTAAACAAAACAAAGTGTCAGGCAAATCCTGGGTCAACCTTTGTGGGGCTACATTGCCTTAGGCACAGTAAAAGCATCTGGAGTCTTACCTTTTTATGGCTTTGTAGCAAATGATGACAACTACAAAGAGGAACACTAGTGTGGCACAGCATACTGCAATGATAATAATCAGGCCTGGCCACCAGGTCTCTTCAGTGGGACAGAAGGTAGACTTGGGAGCTGTAAAAACAGAGTAGAAAAATACATGAGTTCCCCCAAATCAACAGGGTATAATCAGATACACTTCAGTCTCCCCTGCAGTAGCACTATACCAGGGCCACAGATACAGGCAAAGAGGTTATTTCACGTTTAGAACCTGTTTCTTTTTTTTCCCCAAGCAACCAATTGCTCTTTTGGGTACCAGATATTTCTTGTCATGGTCCTCAGACGACCAAGTTCTCTGTGTTAGCATTGTCTACAATCTGGTGCTCAGCATGAAGGAGAAAGGCTCAGCTCTGCTACTTGTGGGAAACATCTCCCTCTGCATTTGCCATCTCCTGCTGCATCAGATTTAATTTTAGAGAGAGATGTTAAGCTGATAAGAGTAGGTTTTGAAAGCCCATTAGGGGAGGTTTGCTGGGGAGCTGCAACAGTGCCTACCAATCCATATTGCAGCTAATATTACTGTAACCTTTGAGTGAGGAAGAGGGATTTGTTTTAAAAGAATATGAATTCTATTACATTTATTAATTACGTTCAGAGTATTATAGTTGACAAGATTCTTTTTCATTGCACTGTCTTTTAATTCTAAGTCAAACAGTTAAGAAATGTTAACATTAAAAAATGTTAACTTGTGAAAATATAAGCAGTTATCATTACATTTTTCCTATTACACTTACAGCTAGAATTTTCTATGTAAATATTACTCAAACAATATTTTGTATCTGGTGGCATTTAGTTAATATATTTTTCTTTGGGGCCATGTTCCTTTTCCCATGCTTTGGGGGGATACTTATTTCCTGAAGAACGGTGAGCAACAGCCAATGCCACGAGCAGTACCAGTGTATTACGAAAGGCAAAGAGACCCTTTAATGCAGCATGTGCAATCACATAAACTACATGAGAATTTCAGTCACATTAAGTGAAGTTTAATAATGAATCAGTCAATGGGACTGTCTATATCTACGTGCTCAGCTAAGAAGGGGAGAGAATTAAATATAGCAAAAAGGTCTTTTTGGTTTAATTTGATATTCTGAACTCCCTTTTACATACATCACAAATAGCTGCACAAGGTAAAATATGTCATCAGTCTGGCATTATTTACTGTGATTTGACCTCTGCTGTGTCTCTTGTGTTTGATTAGGAAAAGACATACACATACCCTTAGATTAACTCCTAACAGGTTAAGTCCTGAACTACAGAATTACTGAGAAAAGATTTTTTTTTCATTTGCAAGAGGCATAGAGGAGTTGGCAACATTCATCCCAAGAAATCTCCAGGAGAACCTTAGGAAAAGACTAGGTAAAACACTGTAAGAAGTAATCAAAATAATAAACCCAACAGCCTGATAATTTATGGGCAGTTCAGCATTTGGTACCAATAAAAGGTTGTCTTTCTCACATGTATCAGCCCTCAACACATGCTATCATTATGATCATACTTGTCTAGCAAATATTGCCTTCCATTTATTGTGCATATATTGACTGTGAGGGTGGGGTGTTTTTTGCATTTGTTTCTTGTTTTTTGCCCTATGGGAGAGAAAAAGAAAGCTGAAAAATGTAGTGATTTTAAAAACTAGTGGTTCCTGGCTTCTTCATTGACTATGTCCACTCCTAGACAGTCCCAGCAACTGAATTTCTACTTTATTACTATGTCAGCTGCAGAAATCAGTTTTCAGTGGTTGATGGAACTATTTATTCCGTTGTGATAAAGCTAATGATTTTAATATTCTCTGAAAGCTTTCAATGTCATTTTTTCCTAAGATTCCAGAACAAAAGGCATTTCAAAGATGACAAAATTTTTGCATGAAGGAGCAGGCAGTCTCAAGGTCAATTTTACCCTTCTCATGTTGTCCTGAAAAACACAAAAGATTGCAGTGAAGTCAAAGGAAACACATCCATCATCAGGTGTCATGTAAAATTTGATGAGGTCACAGAAAATGTGAGAAGTGCAGCTATCCTTATCTAATCCTCGTTCTTCTTCAAAGGCGGGATCAACCAAACTAGTCAAAAAGAAAATGATAATGAGACTGTGTTGCTCCTCAGCACAACAAATGAGACTGACAAATAGCAGAGACAGGGTATAAAGCCAGGCTTGCCACATGTCTGTGCTCCTTCATGGTTTATCACTGTATTTTTACATGGAGAATAAACATATATATGTGGGATTGAATAGTAAATATTACTTCTGAGAGCCTGTATGCAGTCATTAATGACAGGAAAATATGAACTGCTAATGTGGAGGTGACTCCTAATCCATCTGGCTCAGTTCCCTTCCCCACTGGTCCAGATCAGGCACTCAGAAAGAAGCACAAGAAATCACACTGGAATCCTTTTTCTTAGTGGCTCATGGCTTCACACAGCTTTAAAAATTATTTTCTATTTCTACCCCTTATTATTTATTGCTAGGTAGTCTTGTTTTCCTTAGAAATGTCCACTCTTTTTTTAATAAGCTCCTAGTTGCATGCACGTTTCTGCCTTTCCCTGTATGCATTCACACAGCCCTCATTACCCTGGCATTTCTATGTCCTTAATGCATTTCTCCTCACAATTATCCTCTGAGGAAGAGCAGAACTGCTTTTAATCCCTTATGCTGATGGGAAGGCTGAGTCTGGCCTTCGTGGATGACTCTGTGTGCAGCTAGAAATGTCAGCTGAGAGGGGAACTTCCCAAAGAGCCCGCAAGGTGCCTGGGAAGCACCATGTCCTCAGAGAGATGCTTCTGAGTTCCACACTGAGCTCCTGATGTTAGGGAGCTGTAGATGTCTCAGTTTCCATGGGCTGGAGCTCACAGTTCAGCTCCCTGGGGCACCCCTGGACTGGGGAGGCTCTCCATCCTGTGCTGGACTCCCAGAGCCCATCTGCACACAGCTTCAGCTGCTTACAGCATGACTGCTTCCTGGATTGACTCACTCCTGGCTGCTCTTCACTGTTCTCAAAGTCAGGTGAATGGAGACAAATTATTTTCACAGAGCAAAAAACCCAGGAAAATGTACTTTTTCTCCTAAACCTTGAAGTGTCGTTCTGCACACTGAACACACCGCTGGGTGGGAAGTGATAAGAAAGTGATGACATTTTAAAGAAGATGAGAAGGGTAAGCTAAGCAATCACAGTCTGACATCCTTATAGAAATCTTGCCAAAATAATGATATCTCATTCAATAAATAAAATATTAAAATAAATAATTGATGCTAAACAGCACAGGCTTAGGAAGATACATCTTGTCAAACTAACTAGATATTTTCTGAGGAGTTTACTAGTTTGGTAAATAGATGTATTAGTGCTCATGAGATAACCTTAGATTTGATATGACATCTGACTTAATTCCACATAATGTTGGGGTTATGAAACTATAAAGCTACACAGTAAGTGTGGCACACATAAATTGATTTAAAAGCCAGAGAACCATTATGTCTCAAAATCTAACTATAAATGGAAAGTCACTGCTGAGATAATGTGCAATTTAATAGTGACCTCCCATTTGCCCCAAAATAGGGTGAAGGATACGGGTAGAATTTGTAAATGACTCAGGAATGTGCTCCAACACAAACAGAGACAAACATATTTAGCTTAGAAATAGGGTAATTATTATCATTAAGGATAATTAACCATTACCATAGTCTTTCAGCTCTGGTCAAGCATTCCAATGAAAAATTTAGGTTCTATCTTTTCCTGTAAGAAGTCTAAATTCAGCTGAAGAGTTGAACTCAGAATAAGAACTGAGTAAGTAAAGAAAATGCTCTGTCTCTGCAAAGTCCACATGAGGAAATGCCTTTTAAATCTTAGCCTTAAAATTCATGAAGTACATGAAGTTGGTAAGGTTTGCTCTTAGAGGGCCATCACCTTCTCTTATTTCCATCAGCACCAGGCCTAAATAAATACAATGAAGAAACAGACCCACTTCACACCTACAGTGGATTGTTGGATCCAACTTATTGAAAACAAATTAATGAAAAAGTACTTTTAGAGCAAAGGTATCCTGCAAACTATTTCAGCACCACAAAAATCTTACACCTGCTTTCTTTGACTAAGTTTGTTTCGAAGGCTCAGCACAAAGACACAGCTCCAGTTCTAATGTTAGCAGGTATCTGACCACACATGGCTCTAGCCGGAAATGAGCATACCAGGAAAGATTAGCTCAGCTACAGAGGGTTTCCCTCAATGTTCAGGCACAAAAATAGAGGTTGTATCACTAGAAAGAATGCTTACATAAAATTGCAAGGAAGTCTTTGATTTCTTTTTATTAAATCTCAATGGGTCACTCTCAAAACTGCTCTGAGCTTCCAAAACAAAAAAAAACTCTAATGAAGCTGTTTTAATCTTCTGGGTTAAGTATTAAATTGTTTTGTATAAGTTATAAAAGCGACACATTCTTGAACTGCCTGAGACAGATATAGAAACAGGACTTGGAATCCTTGGATACACCATGAAGTTATCTTTAGTGGTCCTGGCTGTACTTTATGAAGCTCATATTTTTGAACTCTAGTGCTCCTGTAATTTATTTTGTTTAGGGTTATTACTTTCCATTACAAACATGGGTTTTAGGCTAATCGCTCTTTGCATGGGAATGCCAGGACAAAGTAACACCACCAAGTTTGTCAGAAGACAGAAAGTGTTCCATCATGGGGGCCCCACTGGGCTGAGCTGGTGCCTCTGTGCAGCCCTCAGCAGCGATGCTGAGACAGGGACCCTGTATCAGGGCATCCCTTCCCACCAGCCATCCCCCATCAGCCAGCCCAGCAAAGCAAAGCAAAGGAAAATAGAGCAGAGCAAAGCAAAGCAAAACAAAACAAAGAACAAACCAAAATCAAACACAGGGCTAAGCTGGAAAATAGCTAAGGGAGGCAGAGACCCATGCTTCCATGTGCAATCCCAGGGGAGCTGTCTCTGGCTGAGGTCTGAGTGTGTCAATTCACTCACAGGCTCAGTTCCAAGCAGCTGGTGAGTGTCCATTGATATGATGTGGAAGGGTGACAGTGACCTCCATCACCTCTCTACAAGAACAGTGACTTCATGCCTAAAA